AGAGTTGCTCTGCCCCGGGCTTCCTGGAATCAGCTGCTGATCAGTTTCAGCAGCAGCTGACTTGGGGACACCTGGGGTTCTTAAGTTGAATCTGTATGTAAGTCGGAACTGGTGTCCAGACTGATCAGTTTCAGCAGCGGCTGAATCTGGACGCCAGTTCCGACTTACATACAGATTCAACTTAAGAACAAACCTACAGTCCCTATCTTGTACGTAACCCGGGGACTGCCTGTATTTTAGAATGCAGATACCTATCTTTCTGGCAATGGGACTGAGACACCAAATGTATTTCATGCCTGATACTGAGCGTTGCATGATGGTGTGGTCAGTAGCAGCTGAGCAGTGAAATGCTGTTACCAATCCTGAGACACCCAACAAGTCATTCTCTACTAAAACATACTTTAATTTATGTGTCTCAGATGTCAGGATAAACAACAGCTTAGAGGCTGCCATGTGAGGTTGTCATGCTGGGTAATATTCAAAGTCAAGCTTTAGCATCTATCCTTACAATAGGTTTGGATCCAAAATAAAGTCCATTCTCACATATTGAGAAAGAGATGAGAAATAACGGGCCTAAATTCCACTAGGCTCAAAAACCAAGAACTTTCCATCATTCCATGGACCAGAACAGCAAGATTTTTTTTTAAAGAGACTGATAATAAGAGACAGACACTCAGAACCTTCTACTTCCAGGACATTATTCCAAATCCTGTCCAGCTAATGACCGAACATGGTTACCATCTGATGGTTGTTCCATAAATTGTGTGAAATTAGTTTAAGGGCATCAAATCAATCCCCAGTAGCCAGGCAACCAGATCACAATAACCTGCACACTATTAGATCACAATAACCTGCACACTTATTAGTCTCAGAAGAAAGGCCAGAGGCTGAATAAGCCGTCACTGAACTTGCCTTCAACCCTTACAGTTGGCCCTGCTAGGTCTGTATAGATGTATATTGGTGAAGATGTATGTATGGAGCTTGCACTCTCACTGTCCATGTTTTATCTGGTCTGTAGATAAACAGAGGACAAAGATTTACACGGGTTTAAAAAAAAGTCTTAAAAACTTCAGAAACTTAGGAAAAGGCAGAAAAGAATTCATTTTATATATATAACCAGGATGCTAAAGACATTACGCAGAGAATGTCAACACGCTACTTCAACATGCAAGGAGTTTTCAAACAAAAATAAAGCCCAACACTTTCTTCTGGAGCTTCTTTGGCATCATAAGAAAGGGTAAGGTCTTTTTACCAGGATGGAGGGAAAAAATCCCTCACATAGCCTTGCTATAGCTTTATGTTGGCATAGACAGAGGAACAATCTACTCACCTTCTGATGATAGATGGTGCTGTATTTTGCCAGGTGTTTATCATGGCAGCCACCCCACCCCAGCAGAATTACCACCGGTTGGTTATTTTTGTTTCCCCACTCTGGACTAGAGTCTGAAATAAATCAGGAGATTTTTAAGAAATGAAACTGCCCTTCAGTTCACTAGAGTCAAATCAAAATTACAACCTAACTACTTAATAAGGATATCAATTTTAACCCTACTCCTGAGCCTCTATTGTAACTACTGTCCTTATAATTGGATTCCTTCGATAGTCTATAAGTATATAATTTAGCTATTATTACCATATTGTATTACAGTACAAACTAAAATGACAAACCCTACTTCAAACAACTTTTAGTGTAAAGGACAAAATGCTATAGGCCAAAGTAGGACACAAATAAGGATGCAAAGATGCTAAAAATTAGAAGCTCACATTATAAATGTTTCTAAAATTCAGGGTTCAAAAAAATCCATTTAGCAGTGGCAAATGGCAGGTTTTCCCTTACTGTACGTGAAGGAAAACAGGTTCATTGATTTTTGGAGAAGTTTACATTTTCATTAAAAAAAAAAGTTTCCAGATCATTTGGCTACGTAAGGCTTATCTACACATGGAATTAGCTCTGACTTTTTAGAAGTGGGTTAAGCAAAGTAGAAACCAAGCATTATTATCCAGAGAATAAGAGTGTCCACATGGGGAGTTAATTAGGAATAACTCTGTATAGAAAAGTCCAAAGATATTAGTTTTATCTTGTTTTTAAAACACCCCAATAGTGCTCTCAGCCTATTCAAAATAAATAAAAAGACGTGATCATTGTCCCAAAGATTTTCCAATCTGGCATGAGATGCAGTGGAATGAGACTAACAGAGAACAGCTGGAGAGAGACATGGGTCACAGCAACAAGCTTACAGTGGCAGTCTGGCCCTGCCCAGCACGTTGTTTCCATACACAGATCATTCTGCTACGAATAACTCTTGATAATTAACACTCCCAAGTACAAAAGAAGTGATTTAAAGGAGACGGGAATAGGATTATTTGGCTAACAGACACGTGAAATAGAACAATTAAGAGCAAGTCCTTCAAGAGCAACAACCCTACTGCTATGCAGCACTGGGCCACCAGAGACCCAGACTGCACTGTCCATGGGGGCATCAGATAATCACACCCTCCACCTGGGGCATCAGACACCAGCTTCCCGCATACCAGCCCTCTGGGGCACCACCCACCTGCTCCCTTGCCTTATCCCGGGGGGTTCAACAACCTGCCCCACACTGTCTCTCCACCAGGAGCTTCAGGTCCGACACATGCTCCCCTCATCTCTTCTCCAGAGAAAGAAACACCATCCCTGCTCACCTCCTCATTTCTTCCCCCACCAGGGCTACATACACCCACCACCCTCTCAACCCCTTCCACCTCCGGGGCCTCAGACAGTTACCCCCACTGCCTCCTCACTCCTCCCCCAGCACTCAGACACCTCCTCCTCATTTCTTCCCCCACCAGGGCTACATACACCCACCACCCTCTCAACCCCTTCCACCTCCGGGGCCTCAGACAGTTACCCCCACTGCCTCCTCACTCCTCCCCCAGCACTCAGACACCT